TCCACTTTCGTGGAATATTAGCAATTAACGGTTTAAGGGGGTTTCGTAATTGCTAATCTGAAGTCATCCTCAAACTGTTAGCGTATTCTACTTTTATGTTAACTCGTTAAAATATTCTTTCTTATCCGGCAAAATAAGAAGTTATCGTAGTTTTTTGCCGATATAACAATACGTCCTCAAATGTCAAATCAATTGACCAAGATCACTAGCTTAATGGTAGCACATCAGGCTGAGAATCGAAGGGTCTGAGGTTCGAGACGTGATGCCACAGAACATGCTCTACACTCTCAGATGTGGGTACGTTATAAAAGTGACATTTTTTTTTAAAGTAACATCAGAAGGCACTAGGTAAGGAAGCATTTGTATATTAGAATGCGTTTGAATGTAATAAGATATTATATGTTGTTTGGACTTCAAAAATGCATACTTAATGCATACTTAGTCTTATGTAAACCAAAAAATAAAGATTACTTGTGACTACCAAATATATGGGATGGAGGCTTTAATATCTAATGGGGTCATATGACATAGGAACTGTACTAATAAAATAAATAAGCGAAATATACTCAAAACACTCAAACGATCAATGTTTTTAGGGATAAAACTTAAAATACTTTATTATAAGACCGTCAACGGTCTTAAAACAGACACTAGGGGTTTCCACGTACAATACCACCATCTTCAGAACTATCTTGAAATTTTAGCCTTTTATGCGAAATATACATTAGACCTCCACATTAGGAAGTTTACCAGTTTCTTGGCGTCTTACCTTTGGTGTTGACAAATCGTCATTTAGCAGTGTGATGCTATCAGTGCAATCTTCTAAGTTTGTTGCCACATTGCTGATCTGTTTCATTACGGCCCAGCATGGCCAGGTGGTTAAGGCGCTTGACTCGCAATCTGAGCGTCGCGGGTTCGAATCCCCGTCCCACCAAACATGCTCGCCCTTTCAGCCGTGGGAGTGTTATAATGTTCGGTCAATCCCACTATTCGTTGGTAAAGGAGTAGCCCAAGAGTTAGCGGTGGGTGGTGATGACTAGCTTCCTTCCCTCTAGTCACACACTGCTAAATTAGGGACGGCTAGCGCAGATAGCCCTCGTGTAGCTTTGCGCGAAATTCAAAACAAACAAACAGTTTCATTATGTGCCATGTGACTGGAAAAACATTTCCGAATCTGCCTTTCACTGTGCTATTCTGATAATTGGTCAAAAATATTTGCTGCTTTTCTTCTGCTTAGCAAACAGATGGGCCACGTAGCTCCTTGTCACAGAAACTGAATGAATTTTGTACATATCTGGGCTATCTGCTTCTAATTATGGGGGCATTTGCTCAGATGAAAGTTTATGGCACTTATCAGTCGCATCAAGATCCAAAAATACTTTGTCCTCTTTCTTTTCTTATTTCGCACTAAGCTTCTCGATGGCTATTTGCACTAGCCGTCACTAATGTTGAAGTGACAGACTAGAGGAAGGTACTCGTCGCGAACTCTTAGGCTAACCGAATAGCGGGATTTGGCCATCTCCGTTATAACGCAGCCACGGCCCCAAAGCGCGGACTTTTGGCGGTAATGGAGAGCGAATCTGAGATCTACAGAGATATATCACACACACACACACACACACACACACACACACACACACACACACGAAAGACCGAATATCAAAATTATTTTTTGTTTTATCTTTTGTGCTTGGGTATGTTGTAACTGATTTTTTAGTCTGAAAGTTGGTTTACATTACGAAGCAAATAATAACATTATTCTTTACTGATAAAAAAAAAAAAAATAAAAAAAAAATATATA